AAAAGCTAGATATTTGATTTTACTTTACAAAATGAGTTGTTATGGTTTTATTTATTTTTTTAAAGAGATTTTTTTTAAAGATTTTATTTATTTTTTTGAGAGAGAGAGAATGAGAGATAGACAGCATGAGAGGGAAGAGGGTCAGAGGGAGAAGCAGACTCCCTGCTGAGCAGGGAGCCCAATGTGGGACTCGATCCCGGGACTCCAGGATCATGACCTGAGCTGAAGGCAGTTGCTTATCCAACTGAGCCACCCAGGCACCCTCCAAGTTGTTATGGTTTTAAATCATTCCTTATGTGTCTTTGAATGAACCATATTGTTTCTTGTAGCTCTGAAGTATTTCTTTGTTAAATTAGAAGAACCTATAATTATGAGGCACAGTAATTATGAGGAGTCATGTGTAATGACAAGTCAATGAATAAATAAGTGGAAAATAAGTGCCCTTTGATTGTAATCCACTTCTGTGATACTGAGTTTGATGGTGTTTTTAATCTTTAAAATGGTTTGGTTAAGCATCTGAATCTTGATTTCAGCTCAGGTGGTGATCTCAGAGTCATGAGATCGAGCCCTGCCTTGGGCTCCACTCTCAGCGGGGAGTCTGCTTGAGATTCTCTCTTCCTGTCCCTCTGCCCCCCTTCCTGCTTGCGCACTCTCTCTCTCTCTCTAAAATAAAAGGATAAATCTTTAAAAACAAAATAAAATGGGCTTGAAATATTAGGAATATAACTGATTTCATGAAACAAGTTATTTGCTTTTTTTTAAAAAAAGATTGTATTAATTTATTTGAGAGAGAGAGAGAGAGTAAGAGAGTATGAGAGGGGGGAGGGTCAGAGGGAGTAGCAGACTCCCTGCTGATCAGGGAGCCCGATGCGGGATCATGACCTGAGCCAAAGGCAGTCGCTTAACCAACTGAGCCACCCAGGAGCCCATTATTTGCTTTTTTGTAGAGATTAAAACAATACATTTTGTAGTTTTACTAAGACTTCTCATTCAGTCATTCAACAAATCTTGTTTACTAACCTAGGTGTTATCCTAAACCTTGATTTTACAGCAGTAAACAAAACAGACATAAATCCCTGTCCACATGGAGCTTAAATTCTGGGAAGAGCGGATAATCAACTAATAAATTAGTAAAGTATGTATTATGCCATGATGGTAACTGTTGTGGAGAAAATAAAGCTGGGAGGGAAGAAAAGGAGTGCTGGGTGAGACTAATTTTATATAGGTAGCCAGGGAAGGCCTTAACTGAGAAGATATAAGGAAGTATGGACATGCGGAAGTGAACTAAGTAGATCTCTTGGAGGAGAGCATTCTAGGCAGAAGGCATAAGAACTGCAAAAGCTTTGGGGTGGTAAGCAGACTTGTGAGTTCCAGGAGTAGCAAAAAAGCCAATGTAGATGGACTGGGAAGATAAGGAAGAGTGGCATGAGATGAGATCACAAAGCCAGTTGGGGGCCAAGTCATGACACCTTTTAGGATGTTTTAATAATTGAGTGACAGGGGAAGACACTGTGGATGTTAAACACAGGAATGGCATGATTCAACTTAACATTTTATTTTATTTTAGAGATTTATTTATTTATTTGGGGTGAGGGGCAGAGGGAGAGAAAGAGAGAATCTCAAGCAGATTCCATGCAGAGTGTGGACGCCAATGCAGGGCTTGGACTCATGACGCTGAGGTCACTACCTGAGCTGAAACCAAGAGTTGGATGCTTCACTGACTTTGTGTTACCCAGACGCCCCTCAATTTAACATTTAAAACATAAATCTGGCTGCTGTGTGGAAAATGGACTGTAGGAGACAAGAGTGGGAGCAGAGAGACAAGTTGGAAGGCATCTGCAACAACCCAGCAGGGAGGTGATGGTGACTTTGACCAGTATTGGTGGTGGCAATGTTGATGGTGTAGTTGATGGGATTCTGAATTCTTTCTAAGGTGAAGCCAACAAATTCACTGTTGGACTGGATGTGGGATGAGAGAGAAAGAGGATGACTAACTCTCTTATGATAGATGGCCTGAGCAACTGGAAGGCCAGTTGCCATCTACTATGATGGAGGGCCTAGAGATGGGGGAGTGGAAGAGGGAATGAGGGATTAGGGTATCCTGTTCCCCCAAAGGAAATGGTCAAAGAAGAACAATAATAACAGTAGTAGCAAATGGTATCCTGGCTTGTTCATGCCAATGGTCTATTCTATCTGCTCCTCTGCAGTCTAGTCTGTCTCTGCATGGCTAAAAAGCACTTTCTAAAATGGCAACCTCATGAACCTAGGGTTTGAAAATCATAGTGTATTAGAGCTGGAGAAAAATTAGATATTCTAAATCACCCATATTTATTGTGGATTGTTATCTCATTTATTTAAATCCTATTTATTTATTTATTTATTTATTTTTCTGAGTATTTCATTTTTATTTTAATTTTTAAAAAATTTTTATTAACATATAATGTATTATTTGTTTCAGAGGTACAGGTCTGCGATTCATCAGTCTTACACAATTCACAGTGCTCACCATAGCACATACCCTCCCCAATGTCCATCAACCAGCCACCCCATCCCTCTCACCCCCCTCCACTCCAGCAACCCTCAGTTTGTTTCCTGAGATTAAGAGTCCCTTATGGTTTGTTTCCCTCTCTGGTTTCGTCTTGTTTCATTTTTCCCTCCCTTCCCCTATGATTCTCTGTCTTGTTTCTCAAATTCCTCATATCAGTGAGATCATATGATAATTGTCTTTTTCTGATTGACTTATTTCACTTAGCATAATACCCTCTAGTTCCATCCATGTTGTTGCAAATGGCAAGATTTCTTTTTTGATGGCTGCATAATATTCCATTATATATGTATATATACCACATCTTCTTTACCCATTCATCTGTTGATGGATAGAACTTCTATTTATTAAAATTTCTCCCTACATTTTACAAGCTTTAGAGTACATTCCTTATTTTTACAATTCTTGGATATCATGAATCCATGCTGTCCTAGACCCATTATTTTAGATTTTGACTTTATCCCCTTTCAGTTTCTAAGTATATTTCATTAACCCTTTGTGTATATACATTATCTCATTTAATTCTCACAAAACCTTTGGAAGGTAGTCAGGATAGACATTATCTTAATTTTATAGAAAAGGAAAACAAAGGGAGAGGTTAATTTAGTGACAAAATCAGAACCCAAATATAACTTCTGATTTCTGCCATAGTATGTTTTCTATGGACCAAACCACTTTCTTTCCCATTTCCTTCATTACTTTATTTGTCCTTCTCTTGATACTTTCAGTTTGGTTTTGTCCTTGAGATTAGATGTCAAAAGTACTTGGCATTTTCTCTAGGGAGGTTTTTAAAATAAGGACAAGATAATGCTTTCTGGTTTTCTGCTTTACTTCTATTACTTTTTCTGATAATGTTACAAAATTACTTTCAGGGTTATTTTTGCTTTTTCATTTGTTTTAGCAATTGCAGGAACTGCAGGAACACAGAATTAATGTTTTAATAAAATGGTTTACAATGGATACTTAATTAGTCTTCTGGTCATAATGAATTCTCTTGAATACAACAAATATAATCTAAGTTACCTCATACTGGCACGCGATAAAGTTCATTTGCCATGTTTCTGTTCACTTGCACAGCCATGTGAAAATTTCTTGTAGATGTTCCCACCAATTTGTCAATAAACTGTCTGAGTGCTGTTTCACTTCCATAATTGTTAAGCTGTTGGAATCTCTAATAAAAAGTAATTTCATTGACCAAGGCAAGCAACTATTTTCCCAAAGCAAACAAAATGACACATAGATAATCCCTGAAACTCTTGAGTGTGATAAATATGTAAGTCAAGGAAGAATAGTTCAATCTTTTCAAAAGGTTTTTCACAAAGTGTCACACCCCAAATTAATAACATTAAATGAAATAAAGAAACATTCACTGTAGTATGGAGGAATAGTCATGTCAGACAATAGAATTAAAGGTAGAAAACAAATAGTGTAAATTGACTTATTTTGACAGATACAATCAAAATAACTTTTTCATAAATAATTTGACAGTAGAGAGTCTCCAAACTGTACCACGCTATGCTCTCTTTTTCTGTTTCTTTGGAATTTTCTATTGTGGATGAACTGCTTAACTTCCTGGAATGCTTTCTAGGTAGTTTTAATTTTCACTCATCTGAAATGTGGCTTTGTCCTTCCTATAATTCAGACTTTCTTGCCTGCCTGCCTTAGTTCTATTTCCTGTTCTTGGAAGGTCTTCATCTCCTGTTAAAAGTAAAGCTTCCAGAAGGCCTTTCTGATTTCCCAGCCAAAGTGCTCTCTCCTTTCATTGATTCCACAACATCTGGTAGAATCTTTTGTTGCTTTTTTCATCCCTCCTGCTGGATTGTCCTCCTCTTCTGGACAGCAGTTTGTATTCTTAATGCACTTATAATAACTCAAACATTTTTTGTTTAATCAAATTAGGGCAACCACTTAGAAATTCGTTTTTGGATACACTATACCATGGCCACTCCATCCACTAATTGTCCATCTTGGGTCATTGGCTTTCCCATGACAGTTACAAATTCTTTCAAAACATTTGAGTGTATGCCATTTTGAAAATGATTTATGCTATTCAAATATAGAAAGTAAAAGTGGAAGGATCACATTTCAGGTATTCTGCCAAATATGAGTTGGACGCCGGAGGCAAAACAATTAGGGCTACCATTTAGGGAGTGTGACCAGGTAGGTAACGTCAATATTTCGTTAAAATATGAGTGCCCACTGGGTCACCTACATTTTATTTAGGTCTCGAAATCTCGGTCAGGTACTTAAACTGAGAAGACTCAGGGGTGGTTACGTGACTAGACATCATAATCACCTTACAATTCCCCGAAACATTTCGGGATCCTGTGCCGCGAAAGTGGGCCGGCGCTGGGCGCAGGATTGCCCTCCTCCCGAACCCATCCTTCGCCGGCGCCCCGGCGCTGCCGCATTGCATGCCGGGAGTCGTAGTTCCGGTTGGAGGCACCCGGAAGGACGGAAGGACGGAAGGTCCCCGAAGTCTAACCAGCTCTGTCGCTAGTGGAGGTCGCGTTCTTCCTCTGGCTCCCTTTCGTTCTCTCCGGCGTAGCCTTGTGTGAGCACCGTTTCATTTGTTTGTGCCACCGTTTCTCTTTTGGGTTTCAATAAAGTTTTCTTCTTCCCTTGTACAGCGCTCAAGATGGCGGCCTCCTGGTCGCCCTTGGTTACCCTGCGCTTAGTGCAGAGCCGGCTGAGAGGGAGATGTGTTGGGTGCGGGGCCTGGGCTGCTGCTCTCGCCCCTCCGGCCACCGCCCCAGGAAACACCTTTTGGAAAGGTCAGTGACTGTGCCATGAGTAGGCCGAGCCGACTGCATATGACCGGGGAAACCTCGGGTCAGTCACCCTCCCTACTCTGTTTCTCCCAGTTGCCTCCTGGTTTCACGATTTTCGGAACTAGGGGCCCTTGGAGAGGAGTTTCAGCCTCTCTTATCCTTGTCTGACTGCTCATGAAGGAGCCCTGAGCCTTGAGGAAGCTGACCCAGGGCAACTTTCATTTTGAGGTCAGAGGTCGATTAAGAGTTTGTTCCCTTCAGGCTGTTAACTCAGAGTTAACACCACCAGGTGAGCCCAGGTGTAGGAGTGCCTGGCTGAAGGGATGCAAGTGTGGGATAGGGGACTGGGGACCATTATACTTGCGCCTTCCTTGCTCTCCAACTGCATCTAAAAGCCAAACCTCGGACTTCTGCGGGCCAAGCTGGCTCTCGGGATTCTGGGAACGCAAGTGTGCAAGTATTCTCAGACTGAGGAAACAATTCCTGTTCAAGTCACCAGAGGCTTCAGTGGGGTGTATTTTGTCACTGGGCTTGCTCCATTCATTCATTCAAATCGTTACATGTTCGTGAGTGAATGATCATATATTATGAGTAACTAAGTCTTCAGGAGTGCTGGTTTTGCTGCTATATTCATATACTCCCATTAAACTGCAGGCTACTCAAAAGCAAGGACCAGGTGTCTTGTTCCTCAGCACTTGGCACAATGTTTGGTGCCTGATGGTTAAGGTATATTTCCTGAATGAATGAATGATGTTATTATTGTTTTTTCCCTCCACATACTTACCTGTTTTTTTTTTCCTCATCTCCAAGTACCCCTTCTTCTGTGTCTTAATAAATTGATTCTCATTGGCTTATCTAGTAAAACCCTATCAGTCTTTAGAGTTGCAATTAATACTAGAACTCTGATTAAGTCACCTTAGGTTCTTCTGCAAAGTTTAGCATAATTCACTTACTATATAATGGAATATTTTGGTAGTGTAAGGGTTAGGTCATAATGTAAATTTTATTTTTTTAAATTTATGAAATAGGTAATAAAAGCAACTGATACAAGAAGAAATATGGTAAAATGTTCCACCCCCCCATCCCTTAGCCACTTAGTTTTCCTCCCTAGAGGCAACCTCTAATACTAGTTTCTTATGTATTCTTCAGGACATTATGTGTATGAAAAAACATGTATGTGTATATATAAGCGTCTATATTTTTAAAAAAAGTGGTAACATACATATCCTCCTGTACCTTTTGTTTTGTTTTGTTTAGTATATTTTGGAAGTCATTACATATTAATACATATAGAACTGCCTTATTTTATTTTATTTTTTAAAAATTAATTAAATAATTAATTAATTTGATAGAGAAAGAGCACAAGCAGGGGGAGTGGCAGGCAGAGGGAGAAGGAGAAGTAGGCTCTCCGCAGAGCAGGGAGTCTGATGCCGGGCTCCATCTCAGGACCCCAGGATCATGACCTGAGCCAAAGGCAGTTGCTTAACTGACTGAGCCACCCAGCTGCCTCTAGAACGACCTCATTTTATTTTATTTTATTTTTTTAAAGATTTTATTTATTTATTTGAGAGAGAGCATGAGAAGGGGGAGGGTCAGAGGGAGAAGCAGGCTCCCTGCCGAGCAGGGAGCCTGATGCAGGATTCAATGCAGGATTCGATCCAGAATTCGATACGGGGACTCCAGGATCATGACCTGAGCCAAAAGCAGTCACTTAACCAACTGAGGCACCCAGAACTACCTCATTCTAAATGGTTAAAATAGAATTTTATTCAATGCATGTACCATAATTTATGAAAATTTAAGGTTTAAGGAACATCATCATAACATAAGTTACTGAATGCTTATTCTGTGCCATGCAGTATGCTAAGTGCTTTCTACATATTTTATCTTATTTAATTCTTACTATCCTCATTTTGGGGTTGATGAATCCAAGGTTGCAGAAGTTATACAGCTTGTTAAGTGTCAGAACTTTTGGCTTCAAGTAAAGGCTATACTTGGATTTACACCTGACCATAAAGGCTTTGCTATTAACCTGTACTCATATTTTTTAAAAATTAAATCAAGATATTATTGCGTTCAGAATTATCTCTTACAATTTCAAAACTCGGGCGCCTGGGTGGCTCAGTTGGTTAAGCGACTGCCTTCGGCTCAGGTCATGATCTCAGGGTCCGGGGATCGAGCCCCGCATTGGGCTCCCTGCTCAGCGGGAAGCCTGCTTCTCCCTTTCCCACTCCCCCTGCTTGTGTTCCCTCTCTCGCTGTCTCTCTCTGTCAAATAAATAAAAAAATCTTAAAAAAAAAAAAGAATTTCAAAACTCACCAGAAGTCAAAGGGTTAATGGGACTAATTGCAGCTGCAGGCTAATAAGCACAGCTGCAACCTTTCCTCCAGACCTTTTCCATTTGCCTTTAAATTTTCCTCCTCCTTCGGAGAGGTGGATTTGAGGCTTGTTCTCCCATCTTCTCATTTGGCTCCCTCTCTAGTAAACCCTTTTCCTGCTGCCTTCTTGATTCTCAGTGATTGTCTTTGCTGTACATTGGACAGCCAAACTTGGGTTTTGTTACAGATTTGGCAAGCTAGCTAGGAGTTCTTTGCCTGCCTGTGGGTGGTTTGTTGGCCCCCAGTTGGTGATGGGGGCCTGGTGACAAGTCCAAGCAGCTGCCAAGGTTCTTTGCCCTAGGGACTGTCCCTGGGTCCCCACCCCAACTGGGTACTTTTGACTTTTGGCACCTAATTTAACCTTTGTGGCAAGGAAATGTTTTCTTGGACTCAGTTTGGACGGATGTCTCTTGGTGAGTAGTATTTCATGTGTGATGGCATGTGAGCTTATTTCTTCCTTCTGTTTGGTTTGGCTCTCAGATTTCTTCCTCCCATTCGGTTGCCTCCAAATAGTGGGTTTTGGTTCTCTTAGCCTCCTTTTCTTTTTTTATTTTATTTTATTTTTTTAAAGATTTTATTTATTTATTTGAGAGAGAGAGAATGAGAGATAGAGAGCACGAGAGGGAGGAGGGTCCCCGATGCGGGACTCGATCCCGGGACTCCAGGATCATGACCTGAGCCGAAGGCAGTCGCTCAACCAACTGAGCCCCCCAGGCGCCCATCTTAGCCTCCTTTTCTTAAGAAAAGGCTTGACTAGGAAGCCATTTGGTTCAGTCTGTGAAGCCCCAACTTTTGGGGAGAAACTGATGTTCACGGAGGTACTCTGGGCTTCATTTTGTTGTTGTTGTTGCTGCAGCTTTTGGAATTTTTGAATAAAACGAGCTGTGTTCTAATTGGAAAATGGGAAATGACAATTTCATCCCCACATGCAGCCCTTTGGGCTGTATTCTCCCAAAATTGGGCAGTCTTTTTTGGCAACACTGCTTGGCCACATCCATTAATTATAATACCATCTTGCCATTAGATTTGTGTTGGGAAAGGGGGATATTTGGAAATTGGGCCCTTAAGATTTTGTTTGCGTCTTGTGTATTTGTGTGTCCACGTATGTTGTAAATGTGAGATATTTTCTCTACCTCTGAATGTTATTGCTAAAATTAATTTTGTAAAAGAGCTCTATTTAGTTGGTTTAAAGGCAAGAACTTGTAAGAACTGGGCATTCTAATACTGAGAAAGATGGAAACTAACCCAGCTGTTTTTTAAGTTCACATGATCTTGGAAATATTCAGTATTAAGGCTAATTCAAGGTTATTGGTTTAATTAAAATGGACATGTCTTTAGAATTAGCAACATTAAATGTAAAGGTTTTATTCTGCCTGTCTTTACTGAAAGTCAAATAAATTCATGTTATCTCCATTGCAAAATTTGTTAGAAAAGAAAAAAAAACCTTAGAACTTTCTTATTAAGTTTTATGGGTAATCTAAGAATAAACGGATGTAAATAATTTTAATAAATGTAATTAAGACTACTGGAAATAATAAGGGTAACAACTCTATATGCAAGGAAAGTGAGCCTGGTTACCTAAAGAGGGAAAACTCGGGACAAAATCTGAATGTGAAAAGTAAAATTGTTGTGAGAAGTAAAGTTTTAGAAGGTTTGTGAGAAGGGAATTTTTGGAAAGGAATTTTGTGGAGACTAAAATTATGGAGATTAGTATATAAAGAAGTTTATTAGTGATCAACACCGGAAGAAGAGAAGGGAGCATAAAAGAGGCAGAAGTTGAGCAGTGATATAATATCAACAGAAGCCTTAACTGATTCTCTTGAGGAGTTCCAAAAATTGAATTATCCTCAGAACCATCCTAAATTGAGACAAAAGGGCTGGACTTTTATTAATTTATTTTTATTTTTATTTTTTTAAAGATTTTATTTATTCATTTGAGACACAGAGATAGAGAGAGAGAGAGAGAGAGAGAGAGCATGAGCCGGGAGAGAGGCAGAGGGAGAGGGAGAAGCAGGCTCCTCGCTAAGCCAGGAGCCGGATGTGGGGCTCGATCCCAGCACCCTGGGATCATGACCTGAGCCGAAGGTAGACGCTTAACCATCTGAGCCACCCAGGCGCCCCAAGGGCTGGACTTTTATAATAGTGATTGGACATGACCACTTGGAAAGAGGGCATACCCTTGGCAAGGCAGCTGTCTTCAGTCAAGACAATCCTGATGGTGTCTGAGAGTTGAGGACTGTTGGGAGCGTTCCTATAGCTGAGAGTCCTTCACTCCTGATGGAGATATGTTTATGGATGGAACAGTTTTATGGATCAAAGACAATGAAGAGCTGGATGCAGTGGTGACCATCAGCTATTGTCCATTGCTGAGGACACCAGAAATTGGACTGATTGCTCAAGGGAACAATGGGCAGATTAAGCTGCCCATTTGGCAAAGACTCCAAAAATCTATGATGACTTTAGTGCCCAACATGGGCTTAACTAAATATCAACCCAGTATTCCTGGGAGGACCTCAAAAGAGCTAAGAAATGGGAATATTTTTTTTTGGAACAGGAATTTGGACTCCATGTTGGCACTACAGCCAGTTGGAACTAAGATGAATCCTTACCCCAGAACATCTTATG